TTTTAGTAGTAGGAGAGGATTTTTTTCAAAAAAAGCTTAATTAATTTTCTTTAACAACACATTTTTGGAAAAGGCTTTTTAATCAAGTGATTTCTTTTTCATTTTTTTTAAAAAAATTGGGAGAGTGATCAAAAGATTTATACAACGCAATCAATTTTGTGAAACGAAAATTTCCAATCTTTTCTAAATTGTTACAAAGTATGTTGCACTGATTTGATTGAGTATTCTTTCGTTAAATGGTTATAGATTAAAAATTCCATTTGCATTAAATGCAATAGTGTTAATCTTTAAATATAATTACTAGTATCAATTCCGCGTTAGAGAATCTAAATCAAACGATGAAAATTTGAAACGACTTTGCAATTGACTTTTAAAAGACCTATCATTGACGAAGCATTTTAATTTAATAAAAAGTCAACACACTATTATAACAACTTGATTGATTTTTGTATGTGAGGAAGTAAGTGATCTAGTCAAATTTGCAAAATCAAAATATCTCTAGATTTATAATTATTGTTATTGATATTCGAAATATTTATTATTATTATTACTATTACTATTACTATGGAAATATTTATGATTATTATTACTATTACTATTATTTGAAATATTCTGGTTAATTGAACCATTCAAAATATTTGAAATATTTATCTGTATGTGGTGTGAAATATTTGAATAACCATAAATAGGGAGAGCCTTTAGTAACAACACCTTGCAAATAATATTAAATTATTCACACGAATATATTATCTTTTTATACTACTATAAATTTTGTTTAATTTGAAATCTCTCTTGACGAATGGAAACTAGTAACAGTACAATAATAATCGATGATGGTGATGATAATTCTGCTGATACTCCTTCCGATTTACATATAGCTCCAACACCGGAAACCTCTAACATTTTATCAAATAAAAAAATAAAAACAAATAAATCGAGATAGCTTCATTTGGAGCATCCTGATAATTATAGGTAAAGATGGGATTTGCGATCAAAAAATAATTTGAATTTGACTAATAATTGCATCTTTCATTATTACATGTATTCCTCAATAAATAAAATCAATTAATCAAATTTCGTCAATTAAATATTTATTATCTTCTACAGTGCATTTGGTTATCCAGTACATTATGGTTATTCGAAACATTCATGACTATTACTATTATTATTCATTCTTTTTGAATATTTGAATATTCAATAAACACCTAATGCGGACAGGGGAATAGGATCCTGGATTATTATATATAATCACTCGTCAGGTAAAAATGAATTTATTTATAATAACATGGAAAATTTTTTTGTTGTTTTATTTGGCAACGTTTTCATTTTTATTTTAAAAATTTTGTTTTTTCTAAAAAGTTTACATTAAACCTATTATTTATTTAATAAATCCTAATTAAAAAATCCTAATTGTATTCTCTAGTTTAAAACTCCTAAATCTTGACATTTCATTATATATGTTCAAGAATAAAATAATTTTTATAAAAGAATTTAATTGAGATGGATCAGGTTGTAATATAGAAAAAGTGTTATCAACTCGTAAGAATACACAGTTGATTTTTGTAAACGAAACACCTTCTAAATAATTTATTTCTTATTAGAAAGCAATAATGTTTTTATATTTTTAAGTGTTGGTATTAATCTACAGTCCATATTATTTCTCCGTTGCTTAAATAGTGATGTTAGCCGTTTAAAATCCTTAGCCGGCTAACATCATTATGCTTAAATAATAAATTATAGATTGTGAATGTGTCTATATTGCTTTTTTTACATTTTTTGATAAAGTTGTATGAACAACATTATCATCGTCTGAAAACTCCTCTACGTTATCGTTAATTAATTCTTTTATTTTGTTTTGTGCCAAAATTAATCGAGCTAAAGAATCTTCTTTTTCTTATCTTTATTCACAATATAATTTATTCCGATCGATTGAATAGATTTGCATATTTTTCCCAACTTGCTACAGTCTAATTTACTAAGACAATTAAAACAATTAACAAATCTATGATGCTTATACACTGCCTGGAAGAAAGTACCCTAACCTCGTTTTTTATTAATTCCACAAACTTTTACATAATAATAATTTTTTTTGAAAACATCATCATGTAGCTTAGGTTCTAACAAATGTGTATGCAATATTTCATGATTCTGTTATTTAACCAAAAAAAAAAACGAACTTCAATTGATATAAAAAATATAAAAAATGATCAAAAATTTTCTAAAAACCAAAATTTTAATATTCTGTGGGCCATCCATTATTAGATATGCATGCCTCAGTCCTCCTTGACATGCTTTCAATCAGTCTATTATAAACTTATTCAGGAATATTAGACCACTCCTCTTGCAAAGCAATCTCTAATTCTTGAGAATTCTTGAGATGGATTTCACATTTTTCTAATTCATCCCATTGGATTAAGGTCAGGAGATTGAGATGGCCAATTTGATAAGATTTTTATATTATTATTATTTATCCAATTTTGCACATTTTTTGCTGTGTGCACCGGTGCATTGTCATCCTGAAATTTGTATCCCCTACAATTAATTTTGTTTTTATTAATGGCAGCAAATTTCTTTCTAGAATTTTAATGTAATCTTGATCTTCCCTTCTACTTTAACAAGAGGGCCCAATCATTTTCCAGAAAAAACCCCACACCATTATCCTGCCACCGCCATGTTTGACAGAAGACCTCATGTTCTCAAGTTTGTAATGCTCCCCACTTTTTCGCCAAACACGAGTTGGACCATCACTTCTAAAAATTTTGAAGCGAGATTCATCACTCCAAATAACAGATTTCCATTGTCTGATTGTCCAATTTCTTCTATCTAAACACCATTTTAACCGGTTTTCTCTTTGTTGATCTGTTAATAGAGATTTCACTGTGGTAACCCTGGACCAAGTTTATGCAAATTTTTGCAAATTGTTTTAACTGACACTTCAACACCACTGACACCAACAAATTTTCTTTGAATCTCTTCTGTGAACTGCGATTATTTTTTAATGCAATTTCTTTTGAAGCTCCATAATTTCACAAGTCAGACTCATTTTCACGTATTTCTATTGATCCCCATTCCGCAATCGATTTTGGGACCCAGATCCAGTCTCGAACTGTTGGTACACCATCAGTGGAATTGGTGAATGCAAGCTTCTTTAACTCATTTATTTGGCCTTCGAACCCACTCTAAGAATCAAATATAAGTGTTATATTAAAGCTTTCATTAAATTTAATGATATATGTAATGTTATACTTACAATCAAAGCATAAAGTAGTTCAAATATTTCCAAGAATGTTTCAATTTCGTTGAATGAGAATGGTAGTACCGCTGATTTAATCTGCGAAATTGTATAGAAGTGCTTTTTAACGAGACGAATCTCACTTAGCGTCATTCTATCACCTAATATAAATTACCACTGTAAGATTCGTGTTGTTCAAATGAACTGATACAGTGGTGAATACATTACCAATAACTTGTACCATGTATGTGCATATGTTCTCCACATTCTCCGCGTTCTTGTCTAAATAGTCTCTCAGAAGGGATACCAGTCCAAACATCGCTTCCTTAATAAGTTTCTCAGAATCTTCTTTTACATGTTTTGGCACAGTGTTCTAATGACCTCCTGATACTTCAATGAATACGATCTCCTTGTTATTAGAAACTTTCATACCAACACCGTCTGCTTTATTGAGTGTTAAATCGAGTCCCGGGAATAACACCTTCATTTCTTTGATACAGTCAAGTTGTACCTCAATCCAGTCGAATATATATTCTTTATAAACAGACTGTATTGCCTTGAATAAAGGCACGATTCTTTCCACTGTGTACTTTCGTTCCCCAATATAACGGTTTAACGGACCATCGCTGGTCATTGAAAAACTGAGTTAAACAATGTAAGTTAATATATTTTGCCGAGAAAGTAGACATGTAAAAATCCTGAGTAATATACCCACAAGTCGTAAAGAATGATCTCAGATCTTCCGAAATTGATGGTCAGGGGTCAGTGGAGTCATGACAATATTTTTGAATACATCCTTTCCAGACTAAGCGGGAGAAGTTTTTTAATGAAACTTCATGTTAACTTACTAATAATACATTAAGAGGCCAATCACGAACAGATCCTGGAATTATATCAACTTTAATTTCTTTCATTATAACACACTGCTGATTAATGACTACTGAAAAATGGTTATCCAGATATTTTACAGAATCTGCGAAAAGGGTAGGTTTTTGAGGAGTGATCATCACAGTTTTGCTTTGCGATCTGGGAGGAGGTGTTTCAAACTGATGGAAACAATATTACTCAGGTATAATTCTTAGAAAAAATTAAGTTACGTGAAAATCAATCTGACATCAACTTACACCATCATCATTTGTAGATCCTTTTTTTACCTGAATTAAATATTGTAAAAAAAAGAAATGATAATCATTAACTTTTTAAAGTAATTAAAATATATTTTTATCACATACTTTGTTTGGTTTTCTTAGAGGTTGGAATCGTCCAAAAAATCCTTAGTCGACTATATACTAGTTGGTCAAAATTTCTTTTAGTCGACTAAATTTTTTTAATACTAGCGTGTAACCATTTGCTTCGCAAAATGGTCACACACTAATCACGGGAATAACATCCTATTTAATTAGAATATTCATTCTGTTTCATTATTATTAACGTTTTTTTTTAATTTGCAGA